GGTTACGAGAGCATGCATCCTGTCTCAATGCCTAGCTATTGCAATCACACAGTGTTCACGAGCACGGAAGCGCATTATTTGGCCAATAAGGGCTAAGGCAAGGTTCCCGCAGACACTCCCACCCTACTTCCTCCCGGCAACGTCTTAGGGTGCCACGTTAATACGCCCTTGTGGGCCCATAATGGCGCGGCTTGTAATGTAACTTAAGGTGGCGTTAGTTTTTAAGGCCCGACATTGTCCCCTCCAAAACTCATATGGAAATCTGATCCCCAGTGTGGCAGTGCTGGAAGCTGTTTGGGTCAGGGGGCGGATCCCTCAAGAATGAATTAATACTCTCTCTGAAGGTGGAGGGATTATTGAGTGAGTTCTCGCTCTATTAGTTCCCAGCAGAGATGGTTGTTTAATAGACCCTGGCACCTCTTGCTTCCTCTCGCCATGTGATCCGCTTGTACCAGCTGGCTGCCTGCCGCTTGTCCGCCATGAGTAGAAGCAGCCTGAGGCCCATGCCACCTGCAGCTGTCCCAGAACTGTAAGCCAAATAAACATCTTTTCCTTATAAATTACCCAGTCTCGGGCCGAGCCTGTGGCGCACTCGGGAGAGTGCGGCACTGGGAGTGCAGCAGCGCTCCCGCCGCGGGTTCGGATCCTATATAGGGATGACCGGTGCGCTCACAGCGCTCACTGGCTGAGCGCTGTGCAGCCGGTCTCAAAAAGGACAATAAATAAGTAAATAAATAAATAAATAAATTACCCAGTCTCAAGTATTTCTGTTATAGCAACACAAAATGGACTAATACAGACAGGAAGGGAGGCATGGGCTGTGCTGCATGCCTTTGCTTTTGTTCTAGTTCATAACCATTTTTGAAAATCATACCTGTCTTTGAGAGATCAATTGATAATGTCACCTGTCTCTAGAAGTCTTTTTTGACTCCTCTCAACTGCAGTTAATCTCTCTCCTGGGTGTTTTCTAGTAACATTCTACCTTTATTATTGCTGTTTACATTATATTAAACTAATTCAAGTATTTATTTGAAGTTACTAATTAAGGCTGTGGTTTTTCTGTTCTTCAGTTAGATGTAGTTTCTTACAGTATAGTGAGAGCCCTTTCATTCTCTTTATAAAAATGATGCAAATATAATAATAGGTGCCATAAACTGAACTGAAATAGAAGTTAGTCTATTTCTAATACATCATCCTCAAAAGATCATAGATTCTTGAAGAAATTGGGGTTTTACAATGTTAGTTTCTCTCACACTGATGTACCTCCTAACATTGGACTATTCTAGCTCCTTTTCCTTTTACTGGTTGATTATAGAATCAACTTTTTAATAACCTCAAAAGTCCTATTGAGATTTTCAATGGGATTACATTTACTCTGAATCAATTTAGGGAGAATTGATGTCATAAGAATATTTTTATTCCATTCATAAAGTATAGCTCTCCATTAAATATAGATTGTTCTTTTTTTCCTCAGAAGTCATTTCTAGTGTTCTATGTATAGGAGTACAAATTTGGTTAAATATGTCCCTATATTTTCACTTTTTTTTTTTTTTTTTTAAAGATGACCGGTAAGGGGATCTTAACGCTTGACTTGGTGTTGTCAGCACCACGCTCACCCAGTGAGCAAACTGGCCATCCCTATATGGGATCCGAACCCGGGGCCTTGGTGTTATCAGCACCACACTCTCCCGAGTGAGCCACGGGCCGGTCCAATATATTTTTCACTTTTTGATGCTACTGTATATTGTTTTCTTAATATTTTCAACTGCTTCTTGATAGTTTATAGAAATCCATTAGATTTTTTTATTCTGGTCTTGAATTCTTAGACCTTGATTAACTCAATTTTTAATTCCAAAGCATTTATGTAGATTCCTTATGATTTCATATATTTCCTAAGCAAAGCCAAAGCTTTAAGGGTAACTATAGATTTCAGCTCATCCCTCTCTGAAATTCTTTTACACAATTTCTGGTCTCTTGACCCTCCTTGGACATTTGTCTCTCTCCTCTCATTTCAGTGGGAATGCCAGGCTCTGTTCGTTTTCTTCCTTCCTGCAGTGTAGTCTGGAAATTACCTCCTGGCAGACTGCCTGCATGATGTCAGGACTCACCTTGTTTCTTTTCTATCAGAGATCAGAGTCCTGACCTGCCTGTTTTCTGATGTCTGAAGATTCTGTAGTTGTTTCCTTTTGGTTTTGTTTTCTAGTTTTTTATGGCACAAGGATAATTCTGGACCCTGGAACTCCCTGGTGGCCAAGCAGAACTTTAAGATGGGTTTTTAAGGATATACATATATAAAAAAAGGGAAGCTGGACAGTTTATTTTATCTAAAAGAAGGAGCATAATCAGAGGTTATGAACAAGGTTGAATCTCCTTCCCTGAGAATCTGAAAATGTACTGGTTGTGACTTTGCATTAGAAACAGCATCATTTTCATCTTTTTATCCCCTAGTAGACATGCATTAAATGTTTATTGTTTGAAATCAAAAGGGTAGAAAACAGATTGGTTAGAAGTTGGTAACACATTGTGTTTGAAAGTTAGAAATGTATTAAAATTTTAACAAAAATCTTAGCAAATTAATTTAAAATTTCTTCTAAATTGATTTTTTTATCTATTTCATTCTTTTTTGTTTGTTTGTTTTTCCTTTTTGTCTTTTTTCATGTCCGGCAACAGATTGCAACCCTCAGTGTCGCCCCCGTACCGGACCGGGACCGGCAACGGGATCGCAACCCTTGGCGTTGCTCCCGCGCCTCGCTCATCCAGTGAGCGGGAACCGGTCTGTATGTGGGATCCGAACCCTCGGCGGGAGCGCCACCGGGCCGGCCCCCATATTTCATTCTTGATTATAACAGCTTTACTTACATAAATTTTTAAGTGCTTTAGAGCAGTGAACATGGCTTCTATTTCTTTTATGTCTCTTTAAAAACTCTGATTTTTTTTTGATTAGTAGAAACTCGATTTTAGATTGACTGACTTTTAAGTGGAAATCACTGATCAAAAGTAAAGTTCTCACATTTTGTCAGCGTCCTGATATCAGAAATAGCCAGAATGTCATTATTGAATATTTCAGCAGTGAAAGGATAACAAAACCTGCTGAATATTTCTACTATTTATCCATTTTTGTCTTGCAAGTTCAAGTAGTATTGGTTTGTAATACAAACATTTCAGTTCACTTAAATCTTGATTATAGAGTAGGTAATAAATCAGGTTTAAACCTGGCAGTGAGTTGATGTAGCCCTTATTTCAGACTACTGTTTGAACACATAAACTCTCTGATTATAATTAGGCTGAATTACATTCTAATAACTTTTACTGAACGAAGTTTCCCATTATTTCGATGGCATATTAAATTAAATAACCATACTGAGCATTGCTAAGGGCTTTTAAAAACTCTTTTATTTTACTAAATAAAGGAGATTATAGAACATTTTCTCTGCTATTAAATTATATTTTCCCTAATTTAGATTAAAGTATTTAAAATCTATTAGGCATTGATATTGATGAATTTTAAGGTATTAACTGCTTCATGTGATTTACTCATTTTAATAAATGGAGTGATAATATCAAAGGTTTAATAAATTAAGTTTACATTTTTATTATTCTTTAGAGGAAGTAATTTTATTACAGTATCTTTAGCCCAACCTTAAGTTTTGAAAATTTTCTACCTTAAAGAAAAAGAAGAGTAAAATGAACTTCTCTGTACCCTCCACATTGATCCACCAATTGTTAACAGATCAGCACACTTGGGTTCTCTCTTTATATATAGATTTTTTTTTTTCCCAGAACCATTTTGAAGTGTTTATCCCTTACTCAAGAAATTAAGCATTGATACTATTTTTACTATTTTCTGATATAATTGATATTCCAGTTTCAGCAGTTATTCTAATAGTGTCCTTGTTAGCTGTTTAATTTTATTCTCAATCCAAGATGTAATAACAATCACACATTGCTTGTGCTTGTCCTATTTCTCTAACACTTTAATCTACAACAGTCCTTTCTCCCACCTTTTTGTCAGGGCATTTTCTTCCTTTAAGAGTCCAGGCCATTTATTTGTAAAATGTGCCACCATATGGATTTATCTAATTGTATTATGTTTAGATTCAGGTTAAACATTTTTGGCAGGAACATTACATAACTGATACTGTTTCCCATTGTATCACATTACAAGGTTTATTGCTTTATTGGTGATGCTAAGTCTGATTATTTGGTTCCCTCAGATTTCTTTCCTGGAACCTTCTTCCCTTCCCCTATTCCATATTTGTATTTCCCTTATCCTACTGTGCAAATCTAGTTCCCAACAGCATCAAATTTATATTCATTTGCTGTATCTGATAGGACACATAAAATAGATTCACCAATAACATTGCCAACAATAAACTTACTGAATAAAGTTCAAGGTTTGTTTTTTGTTATTATGCTGTATTCTACTAAAGATGTATAGTCATAATAGTATATGGAAAAGTTCTTTGCATAACTTTTTTTTTTTTTTGTCTTTTTTCGTGACCGGCAACGATCGCAACCCTCAGTATCGTGCCCGTACCGGACCGGGACCGGCAACGGGATCGCAACCCTCGGTGTTGTGCCCGCACCTCGCTCAGCCAGTGAGCGGCCGGTCTGTATGTGGGATCCGAACCCTCGGCGGGAGCGCCACCGCGCTCCCAAGCGGCGCACTGTAGCAGTGCACCACTGGGCCGGCCCCTTTGCATAACTTTTTTCTGCTACAATTTGATTCTTTGATTTCTTTGTTTCTATGGTATTCAACTTCATAATTTGTTTTTCTTCTAATTGAATTAAAAATTCAAATTGAATTTCACTTTTTGAAGATGCAAAATTTTAACATTTTTCAGAATTCAAATTTACATGAAATGGTACATTCAGAGAAGTCTTTTCTTCTATCCCTGTTCCTTTACTGTATTTCCACCTATCTTCATAGGGAACTATTTTCTTTAGTTTCTACTTTATTCTTCCTGTGTTTCTTTTTACAAAATTAGCAAGCTAAAAATTATATGTAAATTCTGAAGGATATGTATGTATACAAAAAGACTATGTTCTTTTACTTGTTGTGGTTAAAAACACGTAACGTTAACTTTACCATCTTAACCATTTTTAAATCTACAGTTCAGTATATTCACATTGTTGTGTAACAGATCTCTAGAACTTTTTTACCTTGAAACATTAATTCTATATCCACTAAACGCTAATTATCCCTCTCCTCTTTTCCCAGTTCTTGGTAACCTACCTTTCTACTTTCTGTGATTTTGACTACTTTAGATACTTCAGATGAGTGGAATCATATAGAATTTGTCCTTTTGTGACTGGCCTTATTTTGCTTAGCATATTGTTCTCAAGGTTCATCCATGTGGTAGCATTTAAAAGGATTTCCTTTTTAAAGTCAGGTAGTGTTATGCCTCCTGCTTTATTTTTTTTGCTCAACATCGTTTTGGCTGTGCATGGTCTTTTATTATTCCATATAAATGTCTGGATAGTTCTTTCCATTTCTNGAGTCAGGCAGAGAAAAAGAAATACCACATGTTCTCACTTATTGGTGTGAGCTAAAAATAAGTAAATAAATTCACTCATACACAAAAAATAACCAGGGGAGGGGGGGAGAAGATATAACAACTACAATCCTTTGAAGTTGTTACAACAAGCAAACGGAAAGGACATCGTTGGGTGGGAGGAGGGAGGGAGGTTTCGGTGATGGGCCATAATAATCAACCACATTGTATATCGACAAAATAAAAATTCAAAAAAAACAAGGAAAACATCTCTTGAGGCAAAAATAATAAAAAAACCATACTTATGCTGATGAAAGAAAATAGTGCCACCTACTGGAAGAGTGTAGTTCTTACAACAGACTGACCTAGGAAAAGACATAGCTAATTTCTGAGTTGTCACTGTTCAGGATACTCTGAGAAATAACAAAGATGAGCATGACATGAAGAAAAAAAATAAAAAATAAAAATAAATAAAAATAAAAGGATTTTCCTTTTTTTTTTTTGTCTCTTTTTTCCGTGTCCGGCAACGGATCGCAACCCTCAGTGTCGCCC